CTTTCGTCTCCTCTTTGGGGCTGTGAGGAGCAGGAAGTGCGGCTCCAAACACCTTCAGAGCTCAGGCCTGTTTCGAGATGTGGCTTGTATTGAACCTCCTCTCTCACTTCTGCCCCGGGCCCTCCGGGAAGCCGCTCTCAGGCAGCACCAAACCTCCCCCGGGCTGCCGTGGCTGTGAGGGGCCCGGCCCCTCGGGTGGCCGCCACCTCCCCTAGCACCCCAAAGCACTATCGCAGCCAGCGCGGCTGCAGGCTGAGCTCGGCCCAGCCCTTCCCGTCTGCTCACCAACGGCTGGGCTGTTTCTTAGAAACCTCGCCGCGGAAGAGCCGAGCAGCCCCAGCAGGGGCTGGGGGCTCGCAGGGACACGGGGTTTGTGCCTTTGCTGCTGGTTTTGTCCCCACTGGGCTTGTCCTGCAGGAAGGGAAGAGGGGCATCGTGGCCCCTGACAGGACCCCACGGCTGAACACCCTCTAGTCCTGCCCGGGCACCATCCTGTCCTTCCAGATACAAGCTTGTCCTGCCAAGGTACCACCTTCTGGGGTCAGAGGCCAATCTTGTCCTTCCAAGGTACCATCTTGTCCTTCTAAGGTGCCATCTTGTCCTGCTCAGGTACCATTCTGTCCTGTCTGGTGACCAAGTGAAGCCAAGTTTTGGGTGCTGGAAAAGGATCTTGTTTGATCCCCTGTTCTCTGCTTTTCCTGTGCAGTGAGACCTTCACAGAGCCAAGAGCCACCAGATCTTTCACCCTTTTTCAAGCTGTTGGTGCCCTTCCTCCAGGGTAATGGTTTTGTGTCCTCAATCAACCTTTTTCTTACGGTTAGGAGGGGGTTAAGCAACCCCAAAACTGAAACAACAGCTCCTGTTTCACTCTGAAGCAGCCACTTCAGCCAACCTGGAGTGACGTGTAGCACGTGCGTGTCTGAGTGACGAGCAGAGGAACAGGGATCTCACCCAGCCACCAAAGCTGTGAGGCAAACAGGTCTGACAGACCGTCCCTGAAGACATTTACATCGGCTGGAGTCTGCCTCTTGATGGTGATTTTGTGCTTGCTGGGCTTGTGCTGCAGGAAGAGAAGAGGGGCATCGTGTCCCCTGACAAGGTCCTGCTGCTGAGCACCATCTAGTCCTGCCCGGGCGCCATCTTGCTTTTCCAAGTTACACTTTCGTCCTGCCATCTTCCGGAGCCAGGGCACAATCTTGTCCTTCTGAAGTACTGTTCTGTCCTGCTAAGGTACTGTCTTCTCCTTCTAAGGTGCACCCTCTTGTTTCGTCCTTCTAAGGTATTACCCTGTCCTTCTAAAGTACACCCTCTTGTGCCCAGGCTGCATCTTGTCCTGCCTGGCCGCCATCTTGTTCTCCCTCATTTAGTATCTTTTCCTGAGGCAGGGCTGGAAGAGTCCTGCCCGGGCACAAGCTTGTCCTGCCTGGTTTCCATCTTTCTCTGCCCAGTTGATACCTTGTCCTTCTGAAGTACGATTTTGTCCTGCCAAGGTGCTGTCCTGGCGTCAGAGCACAGCATTGTTCTGCTAAGGTCCCATCTTGTCCTGCCTGGGCGCCATCTTGTCCTGCCTGTGTGACCGAGTGCAGCCAAGTTCTGGGTGCTGGAAGAGGATCTTGCTGGATCCCTGTGCTCTGCTTTTCCTGGGCAGTGAGACCTTCACAAGGGCAAGAGCCACCAGATCTGTGTCCCAGACCTCTGCCATGGGGAAGGAGCCATGGCAGATGAGATGGGAGACCTGAAGACCTGCAGCCGCGGCACGGCTGCCCATGGCTCCCCTCCATGCTGCCCATCACCAGCACATTGTGGCACAGGGACTGCATACACGGACTGGAGGAAAGGAAAAGGGTTTTTCACCCCTTGTTTCCCCTTGATGGGGAGTTCACTGCCCTTTGGTAGGAGAGGATAAGGACATCACTCAGACCGAGTGAGTTCCCGGGGCTTTATATGAGAAAACCCCCTACTTACTCACTGTAAAAAGCCAACTGCAAAACCCTTTCCCTGGGTACAGTTGAGTCAAACGCAGCAGCTTCAGCTAACGAAACATGTTTTTAAAGGGGCTTATCCCAGTGTTTCTTTCATCCTTTTCCCAGCTTTGGTGCCCTTCCTGCAGGTCATGGTTCTGCGAACTCAGTCACCGTGTTTCTCAGTTAGGAGGGGGTCACGCAAGCCCCCGACCGAAACAACACCTCCCGTTTCACACCGCAGCGGTCACCTCACCCACCCGAGCTGGCGCACCGGCACGCGTGTGCACCTGGGGGGCAACCCCGGCACCCGGCGGCGCTTAAGGAAAACAAGGGGAAACGCGAGGAATAAGCTCCCCGCGGCGGGCTCGGACGCGGAGCACCGTGGGGATGCTGCCGTTGAGAGCGGGGGGACAACGAGCCCGGTCAGGGCCCCACACCCGCGGGCCGTTGATCGCAGCCGTTACGGCCGGTGGCAGCGGGCGCCCGGGGCACGCGCGGATGCTGCCGGTGAGCGCGGGGCCGTGACCCGCAGGCCGGGGCTCCCGCGCTGCTCCGCTCTCCCGCTCCCGGCAGTGGCGGCGCGGGGCGAGCCCCGCCGCTGGCTCTGGAGAGGCAGCGCCGCCTCCTGGCGCTCCCCCGCCCGCCCTCGGCGCCCGCTACTCCCGGGGCCGGCCGCGGGCAGCCGCCGCCAGACGCGCGCTGCGGTTGTGGAGGTGCCGGGACCGGCCCCGGTCGGGCGAGGGGACCGGGATGCTGCTCTCGAAAATTAGCTCGTTGGCCCATCTGCGCTCCGGGACCGGCGGGGAGCTGCACGCCGCGAAGCTGCAAGCGGGTAAGGGCGGTAACTGCCCGGCTCCGCTCGGCCCGGGGCGGCGGGTAGGGGCCGGTTGGAGCCCCGGCTGCAGCGGTAACGGCCGCGTCTGGCGCGCAGGGAAGGAGAAGGAGCCCCTGGAGCGGCTGCACCGCGTGGGAGCGCTGCTGGGCAGCGGCGGCTCCGGGTCCGTGCCCTCGGGCTCCGCCCCGCCCGTCCGACAGCGCCCCGGTAAGTGGCGGGGCCGGTGGTGGGGCGGGGGGAGGCGGCGCGGCGGGGGCCAGCTCAGCCCAACGCTGCCCTTGGCTTGCAGGTGGCGATCAAACACGTGGCTCGGGACGCAGCAGCAGCCTCGCCTGTAAGGGTCGGTGCTCCCCCGGTTCCGTGCTGCCATCTTCCGGCACCCGCGGCTTTTCCTTACAACCCAAAGTTTGTCAACAAGAGTCACGTGCTGATGACGGGGAACGGGTGACACGGTGTGTGTGTCCCCATGGGGCCACTGGTGCAGCCTCTGCCATCCCAGGGATGCATCCTCCCGCTGAGCTGTGCCTGTATCCCATAGGAACACGCGTGTACAGCCCACCGGAGTGGGTCCGCTACCACCGCTACCACGGCCGTCCAGCGGCCATCTGGTCTCTGGGCGTGCTGCTTTATGACATGGTCTGCGGGGACGTCCCCTTCGAGCGTGATGAGGACATCATCGGTGGGGAGCTCTTCTTCCGGCGCCGGGTCTCTGTCGGTGGGTACCCGGCCTCGTGGCACAGGGGAGAACGGGATTTAGGAGGTGTCTCCGGCCACACGAGCATTGTGTGACTCACGGCAGGTCCTGGTTCTCTCCCCAGAGTGCCAGCACCTCATCCGGTGGTGTTTATCCCTGCACGCTTCCGACAGACCATCCCTGGAAGACATTTTCAACCACACGTGGCTGCAAGCCCTTCACCTGCCCCAGGAGACAGCCGACATCCACCTGCACAGCCTCATCCAGGAGCCTGGCAAGTGACAGCTTCAGGCAGCTCCTGGCCAGAAGCAGCAAAGAATCCCAGACTTGTCCTGATGAGCACAGAACTGAGCAAGGATCCTCAGACACGACCATGCACGTCTTGTCCTGGACTTTTCTTTCGTTTTGCTTTGGGGTTTGAGTCTTTTTTTTTATTGGGGGGGGGGGCACGTGGGGGGAGGGGCAGGGGCTAGGGGTGCAGTTTCATTTTGTTCATTTTGGGTTTTAGGGGGTCAGGTCTTTTTTTGGTGGGGTCAGACACTTGAGAGCCAAACCACACAAAATGCATCTTTCCTGTCCGGAGAGACTGTGAGGACAGATGGAGCCCCAGGTCACAGATGGGGTGAACTCAACAAACCTTTCTAGGATGGTCCGTAGGCTAAGGGAAGGTCTGTGTGTGTGTGTGTGTGTGTGTGTGTATATGTATATAATTTCTTGTACAGCTGTTAGTAGTGATGAGATCTGACCTTTTTTCTTGTTGCTCCATTTTTTTTAACTTATTTGGGGTTTTAACTTATTTCCATGAATTTTTTGGTTTGGTTTTGGTGGGTTTTTTTAAGAGTTCTGGCTCTTAAAGTGGTCAAAGTTATTTATTTATTTGTAATTCCCATGGGTTTCCAACTCCTACAGCTGCTGATCCCCTGGTTTTCCATTTGGGTTTTCCGTGTGTGTAGGATTTGCGTTAATAGTTCCTTTTGTACAGGGGAATACAGAAATTTTACTTTTTTATGTGCATTTCCATAAAACCAAACTACTTGATGTGATGGAGCCATCCCTTTATCATGGGGTGGGATGAAGGATGCTGTGAGCGTGTGGGGTACCAAGCACCACATCACAACTACTGCGGGGACCACCAGTGTGTCTCCCACTGAGACGACTCTGAACATCCCACCAAAGCAATACAGGGAAGGCTGGATCCATCCTTCTGCAGGGACACCAGTGGGATCTGGCAATGCCAGCAGAATCGTGGAATTCTGCTGTTCCCAGGGGCTCCAGCTGTGGCCTGGAGGACCTCACCTTGTGAGGCAAAGATGGGGTTGAGACAGGTCATGGGTTTCCAAAGGCTGCCACAAGGGATGGGTTGGGGTGGTCCCAAGTGCAGCTTGTGAGTATGAAGATGGGGCTGGCCTTGCTGTGCCAAGGGGCTCTATCTGGGGAAGGGGCTGAGGAGTGAATTTGGGGGTCCCAGAAGCAGCTGCCTCTAGCAGGGAGCAGCCAGTCCCTGCTGCAAGCAAGGATCTCCCTGAGCCATCCCTAACAGCACCCCAGCAGGTGGTACTGGGAGCTTGATGCCTCCATCAGCTGCATGTGTGAAAGCCTTGTGGTTGAGAAGCGTGGAGTTGCCTGTGTGGTGATGCATCTTCCCCCCCATTCCCAATCCCCTCAGCTGCGCCACAACCTCAGGAATTCCTTTGGGTAATGAGTTGGATGGTGAAAAGTCCCTTGACTGTATCAGGCTCACAGGGGAGCAGTGTACATACGGGTGAGTAATGAGCAAATCTGACTTGGCTTTGAGTTTTAGGCAGTACTGGAACTCTGTTGCAGTGTATTTCCACTCATGCCTTTATTGGTTCTATGAACCATGAAAAGAAGTTAAACTTACTAACTTCCTTCTAGACTCATGCTTTTCCCATCCCCCTTTCCCTGCCCTTCACCTTCCTTTTGTACTGTTTTTCTAGACAGCTCCATAAAACTGGCTCTGGGAAGAGCTGAGTGAGGACTGCCCCAGCATCACCTCTCAGTGTGGTTCCCCTGCTTGCCCTTCTGGAACACCACATGCCTGAAGCAAGGTGAAGCCTCCTGAACACATCAGGGTTGGTTGACACTGATCATCCTGTTGCACTCCCCCTGCTTTCAAATCAAACCCCAAGTGGCACTTTTCAGGAAGACTAAGAACACAGTAATAAGTTTAATGTACAAACCCAGACACTGCTGTATGTGGACAGCACTACATCTGTGCCAGCAGAAAGTAGGATCCCGGGGGGTAAAAATACACTGAAGGCCTTGAACGTTCCTGCCCCTGCTCTGCTGAAGCAGAGGTGCTCAAGACTCCAGGTCAGGTGTGTGGCTCCAATCCCATGCCAGACTGCAGCAGCGATGGCCTGAAGCCTCACTGCAGTCCCTCAAGGCTTTCCACAATGCTCCTGCAGGAGCTCCAGTCCCATAGCTCTGCTGTGACTCTCATGAGGTTCACAACAGGAAGCTTGTTTCCATTTCTGTCTTCTCTTGCTGCTCTTAGGACACTTCAGTGGAAGATGATCTTTTTATATTTGGAATTGGGGATCTGTCCTCGTGCTTTCAGCCTCCTGACCGCCTCCCGCATGTGTTTGGGCTGCAGAGGTGGCAGCTCCCCCCACTTCTCACACACGTCCAGTGCTACACATCAAAAACCAAGAAGAGTTCCCATAAGCAAGACAGTTAAGCTTAGCCCATCTCCTACTGTTTGAGCTTTAATTTTAAAGGCATCAGTTAACATTATTGTTTGGGGTTTACAGCTCATAGTTAGTTTAACACGCAAGAATGGGCTTCTCTTTGTCTGAGTGAAAAGTCAGTCCTAAGGGCATCAATACCAGACTAGAGTAAACCACTTGGCTACTAAGGCATATGCTGGTTGGAGACACATGCACTTACTCTTTAAACCTTCTGCTCTAAAGCCACCCCTGGGCTGGATGGTGTGTTTTGGGGTGTTGTGTATGACAGTAACGGAAGTAGACATACAGACCAGTTTCTTTTCTGTCATTTCAAGTATCATTCACACCTCCTGCCAAGGATATAAAGCAGTTAACCACAGGAAACAACCAAGGACAGCACTGAAGCTGCTTATAGAAACCACCTCAGGCAACACAGCACCTCAGAGACAGCAGTAGGCCCTGGTAAGGGTGACCCCAGCACACACAGGCCACATTCTGCCTGGCAAGTCTATACAAACTGCTTGGCAGCAAAGCCTATGCCTCTTCCTCCTCCAGCCCAAGCAAGGAGGGACACAGCTGGTCAGCCTCCCAGCCCATGTCCCAGAAAGATCCTGGCTCTTCCCATGAGCAGACAATATTTACAGGTTTAAGAGACTTAAATATCTAATTTCCTTCTGGGCTGAATTTATCCACAACAGTACCAAGAGAAGATCCTTACTGCCCTGGTGCAGCCTGCTCACAGGCTGACTTGCAAGAGCTAACTTCTCAGAAGGGATAAACCAGGAGCTCAGTGGTCACCAGCCTCTGCTGATGGGTGAGCAGTGACACCAACAGGCTTAGAGGGGACTAATGGCAACACCACACACCACCCTTCTCAGCTTGGCTCTTAACCACAGCATTTGGAAGGTCAGAGGGTACCATAGGGCAGCAACCAGGAAACATCCAGCTTTACTCCATTGTCCTGCTCTGCTGCATGCAATGCATTCCCCCATCTTTTTCACTTTCTCCTCAACATCTGCCACTTACCTTCCTCCACCACCTCCCCAACAAAGACCTTGGAAATGCCGGACATGGCGATAACCACATTCTGAGAGACAGAGGTGCCGGTGATGGACTGGATCAGCTGGACAAGAGGAGGAGAGTCAGCTGATGGTGAAGCATTTTAGCTCATATTTAGCAGTTTGAGCCTGGCAAGTATCAACTGACAGCTCATGAAATGCACAGAACAGCAGTGACCGATCTTTAGAATTAGATCTACAGATCTGGGCACATGCTGGCTGTCAAGGTTTTAGCTTTGCTCGTTCAGCTGCTGACCCTGAACCAGGCACTGCTTCTTCCCATTGCCTCACGGCCCCCCAAACCAGCATCATTTTAAGTAGATTCTGATTTAACTGCATAAGCCATGCAAGGGCACTGAGCTGCGACATAATAAGATCAGCTGAGCCGAGGGCAACAGTCTGAGCCACAGGGGCTGAGATGCAACTGGAGGAGAGCACACCAAGGCCCAGATAAGACCCCAGCCAGGCTTAGTAAGGCTCAGCCTGCTTGCCCTGCTCAGACTCAGTCTGTGGTGAAGCATTACTGATGTCATACCCGTTTAATGGCAGCTTTGGGGAAAGCAGAGCGCCGATACATCTCATAACGGTTCAGCTGTTCTTCAGAAAAGGAAGAGACCAGTATTCTGCATAGAGAGCATTGATTATTTACAGCAAAAAATTACAATAGAAGCCCGAAGCCTTTCAGGCTGCTGCAACAGTCCTGCAAAGCCCTTTGACCCTCCCAAGCCTCCTGCAACACAGAGCCAGGAAGGGGAAGGCAGTGCTCAGGTTTGTAACACAAAGGGGCTGGGCCTGTTCAGGAGCGATCCGGGATGGAGATGCAGCCATTGCTGACCACGGGCTCACACACGGATTCCATCACAGAATTACAAAATCCCAGACCGGTTTGTGTAGAAGGGACCTTAAAGTTCATCCAGTTCCAACCCCCTGCCACGGGCAGGGACACCTTCCCAGGGAAAAACTTACTCCTTTTATCCAATCTGAACTTCCCCTGTTTCAGTTTGATCCCGCTGCCGCTTGTCCTACCGCTACAGTCCCTGATGAAGAGCTCCTCTCTGTATTCAATGATTACCGCACACCCTGAAGCAAACCCCGAGCACCGACGTCCCCCGGCCCCGCTGCGCTCCTGCACTCACTGCATTTTCTGGATCTCGTCCTCGTCCACCTTGTGCTTCTTCTCCTTCCTCTCCTTCAGCTCCAGCTTCACCTTCTTGGCCGCGGACGGCTGCAGGCTGGGGTCTTCCCCGTCCACCACCTCCCTCTCTGCGCTCCTCACCTGAGCGAGAGCGCAGCGGTCGGCTCGGCGGCCCCGCGGTCCGCCCGGATCCCGCTCCCCGCATACCCGGCCCGGCCTCACCTCTCCGTCCGGCACGTCCCCCTTGGGCTCGCCGCCCCCACCGGCCTCTCCCGTTTCGCCCTCGCCTGCCACCTCCGCGGCCGCCGGCTCCTCCGCGGCCATGGCCGGGCCATCGTCCGAGGGGGACGGGGCCGCGGGCGGCGGCTCCTGCGCGGCGCCGGCCCCGAGCTCCTCCCGGCCCGCGCCGCCAGGATCCGCCATCACGCTCCGAGCGGCGTCGCCTCCTGATGACGCAGCGCGACGGCTGCTGCGGGAGGACGCGGCGGGGCGGGGCCTGTCGCCAGGGCAACGGGTCAGCGGCTGCGGGGGGGGCCGGGGG